GGGGGGGGGTGCCGGGCTTATTGCACCCCCAGGACCCCCAGGATCCTCCCCCTCCCTAGAGGGACCCTATACTGCCTACCTCCCCCCCACTTCACCCCCCCCACCCCCGGCTGAACACGCTGCTCTCGGTGGGCAGTAAATCCCGGCATGGATCCCTGGATCGGCTGTCCCCGAAGAGGCCCTCAACCAGAGCCAGAAAAACAAAAACAAAAATATTGCGGGGCGGGGGGAGAAGTTCATCTGAGAAAGATAATATTGGAGGTAAGGTCGTCGACTTTGGTGCTAACTGAGCATTCTGCCACCATGTAGTTTATGTGCGGGCCTCACCCTTTGGATGGAATTTGGAGGGGTTGGGACAGAGTTGGGGTTGGGGTAAACCGAGTTGAGGGGTTGCGAGCGCTGACAGGTGAGGGGTCTACGCAACATAAAAAAGAGGAGCAGTGACTGAGGCTCCGAGTGCAGGGTGTGTGTTCGCAAGGTTGCTGAGGAGCCTTGGGTCTGAAGCACCTTTCCCCAGAAACCCCGGTCTCCTCGAAGGTCTGTAGGACTGCGGCCACCTCCGCACCTCTCTACTGCGGGCTCTTTCCGCTCTTCTAGGCTTTCTGCTCCCTCTGCTGGCCCTTCTGGCACATGACACCACCTCAGAGTCTGATTGGAAGCAGAGGAGAGTGGGGGCGCTGACGGAGATGGAGCCTTAAAAAGTCCCCTCAACAAAGCCCAGTTAGGAGCCCAAGGAGGGGGATGTATGAGCCCAAAGAAAATGAGGAACGCACTGGCAGAGGCTGCTAGTGCCCAGCGGTAGTGCCTAGCTGACAGGGAGTGCCATGTCTCTTTGTATTTGTGTTGCCATGGTCACCGGATGCAGGGGAGTGGGCAGCTATTTCAGTCTCTCTAACCTTTGAAAAAGAGAAAGCATGGTGGGGGAAAGGCGTCCCTTCCCCTTTCTGTCACCCCTCAGACAGACCTCCCACATCCTAGCTCTGCTTCTAGGGACCACCTCCTTGGGCCTGGAAAGTCAGTGGGTTAACTGTTCAGTCTGAGAGTCAAAGGGTGAAAGAAAAGGTGAAGCTAGGGGAAGTCTGGGACACTACAAATACTCCTATAGGTAGTAACTGTGGAGAGATAAGGAGGCCTGTTTGAGCCTACCTCCCCCACATGACTTTGACCTAGACCAGTTATACCCAGAAGGTCAGGAACCCACTCAGTCAAGCCAGACTAACAGTCACTGAAAAGGGAGGGACCCTACATATGCTCCTATCCTACAGGCATTTATTGAGCATCTACCATATGCCAAACATTGTGTAAAACATTGTAGATATAAACATGAATAAAGTATATTCTCTGCCCCCAAACTATTTGCCATCTTTGTGCTAGAAAAAGACATGATAAATAATTAAAACAGAACCTTCAGGTTTTTCAAGGTGCTATAAATACCAAAGAGGGAGGTTCCAACCTCTGCTTGAAAGGATATAGGAAGACTTCACTGAAAAGGTAATGCCTGAGCTATGTCTTATATTCATAGTGCTTTAAATGGGAGTTGTCCACAGAGAGAAGCAATGGGAAGGGCATTCCAGATACAGACAACAGCATTGCTAAGGCACAGTAGTGTGAGAGAGGAAGCACTATATCCAAGGAAAGACAAGATTGTATCCTCTGGCTCCTGCAGGGAGACATGTGGCATGTGATTCTAGAAAGTGATAGGGATAAGATGTTGGTGAGGTATGAATCACAGATCATATCCAGTTTTCCTCAACCTAGGGTACTACAAACACCCTGAAGCACTGAGGAAATATACACAGGTGTTTGTTTTTTTTCTTTTTTTTTTTTTTTTTTTTTTTTTTGGCAGCTGCCTGGTACCCGGAACTGAACCCTTGACGTTCATGATGTTACAAGGCTGTGCTCTAACCAACTGAGCTAACCAGCCAGCCTACTCTTAAAAATTGAGCTTTTGTTTGTGACTTATATCTATCAATTCACCATATTAGAAATTAAAACAAAAAATGTTAACACAAGAATACGCAAGCACACATTCCATTAACGGTGATGTCAGAAAGATGATGTAATCACATGTCACACATTCTCTGGAAAATTTCACCATACAATTTAGAGATAATGAGAATAAAAAAGACAAATGACATCTTAGTATTATTATGAAAATAGTTTTGACCTTGTGACCTCTGAAAGGTCTTAGGTCTCCAGACTACACTTTGAGAACTGTTGCTCTGAATTGTCACCCCAACCCTTCTTCATGACTTACACTTGTTGATTTTCTTTCTCATTTTTATTAAGAAAGTATAAATGTTTCTCTCCCCAGTGAGTCCTGTCCCTCAGGGAAAACTAGGAAACTTCTTAGGTTCAGCACCGCTCTTCCCTGACTCCCATTTCTGGGGCTCTCCTAGATACCCTCCCTCGGTGCCTCGCCCATCTCCCTCTTGGCCCTCCCTTAAAGCACTTCAACAGTCCTTACCCTTGGCCAGCTTGTTTGCTCTGTCCCACGCTTGCTGGGCCCACTGTCTCCTCCCTCCACTTGAGGACTTTCTCTTCTTGGAAGAGACTAAGTAATTTTTCTCTGCCTTCTTCCCTCCCTCCCTCATTAGCCTTTGCCATCCTCTCACAGGGCTTAGAGTAGGAAATCATGCTTTCTGGGTAGACCCCTTTAGAGGAAACACTTTACCCATCTCCCCATACATCAACCAGTCTGGAATAGGCCAGAGTCTGGAACAAGAAGGAGCCCATTTGGGTCCCCTACTTGTCAACCCAGTCATATTGCCAAGTGGCCTGTTGGGTGGGGGTGTGGATCAAGAATCTGATGCCTCCAGCCCCAGATACCCTTTGCCTGGGAACCCCCAACTTGACCTCTTCACTTCAAACCCCTAGGTCCACTTGCTAGCTGCAGCCACAGGCCTCCACCACCATGTCTGGCACATCTGTCTTGACCACATTGCCATTATGGTCGAGGTAGAGAAGAGAGAGAGATCTTCGGGCAGTGGGGACACAGCAAGAAGTACCCACGGGCCAAGGATTGTTGGCTTTGAGGAGGCTGAAGACAGCAGAATGGAAGGAGGCAGCAATGCCTGGGCTGCCGGCCAGGTGGGGGGGGCACTGTCCACTGCAGTAGTTCAGCTGGTACCCCTCGGGCTGCAGGATCCAGTCCCGCCATCCCAGTTCCTGGAAGTCTACATAATGGTCTCGCCTACAACATAAGGGGGTCTCAGGCTCACAAGTGGGGGTCCTCCTTCTGGCCCGGCCTGCTCCAGGTTCTTTGGCCCGGATCTTAAGCTCCAGGAAGGGCTGCTGGTGTCCTGCTGTGTCCAGGAGCCGCCTTGGTTGTCCAGCAACTGTGCTATTGACTTCTAGAAGTCTGCAGTCCAATTGGAGTTTCAGGACACCAGACTCATCACCCCTCAGGCCACTAGAGGGCAGAGTCAAGGCATGCCAGCCCCGGGTAGTCACTAGGTGCTCAGCCAGGAGGGCACGGGACCCTCGGTGCCTTCTCTTTGGGCCCCATTGGAAGATCCTCAAGTAGAGAGTGTAAGGAAGGGTGGGGAGCACGTGCAGCCAAAGGCGGGCGTGGTACAGGTGGTGGGACTGAGGAATGGACAAGTGGAAAGTGAGCATAGAGCTGCAGGTTGAAGTGGAGGAGTCTGCTGGAACAAAAGCCGGAGAAGGGAAAGAAATGTGAGCAGAGATGAAGCTCTCCTCTGAGACTCCCCCAAGCCCTGTCCACTCCTCTCCCTCACACCCACTTTTTTTTTTCTTTAATAGAAAAAGCAGGGACTGCTTGTATTCTCTGAAACCAGTCCCTGCTCCACCTCCTCCTTCTCCTGCCACACCCTACTCCCTCTGCCTCTTCTGCCAGCCTCCCCTTCTGCCCTCTTTCCCTGTCTGCTCTCAACCTGTCTCTCCCCACCTACCTGTGATGGTAGCAAAGCTGATGACCTCCTCCCCATTCCCTGAAGCTGCATTCCCCAGTTGTAGTCTCCGGAGGGCTCTGGTCAGTGCTGCCTGGGGTGGAGGATGAGTTGATCTGGGACGACTGGTAAGGTGCAACCCTTCCAGGATTTGCTGCTTGGCTAGCTCCAGGACCACAGCTCGTTCTTCTTGGGGTGCCAGTGTGGGATCCCCACAGGAGGGACATACAGATCCTGTTCCCTGTGCCCACACCAGTGCCCACAGCAGCACCAGCCAGAGCTGGACATCAGGGAGCCCCATACTCCTGGTGGGTGGTTCTGGGTCAGGAGCCTCGGATGGCAGTTGCTCTGTCTGTTGAGTTTGATTGTGTGGAGGCCAATGAGGCCACAGCAGCAGCAGACACCAGTGCCACACCTACCCTTAACCAAAGGTAGGGCCACCTGTCTTCTATTGCTTGGGACTCAGGAAGGTTTAAAGTGGATCATCCGATGGGTAGCTGTGTTTGACCCTCACAGCTTATGTGTGGCTACTGACCTGGGGCCTCTTTAGAGCCAGCTGCCTGGGGCTCCCTCACCTAGTGGTCAGCAGGCAGACCTACCCTCTGAGCCCCAGGATTGGCCAGCAGTGCTGCCCATCAGGCCCCTGCAGGGGGTGGAGGTCTCCCCCCTCCTGTAGCTCGGGTTTCACCATCTGGCCATGGTGACTGGGGTTGAGGTAGGGGTATGGGGGTGGGGGGGCAATGTGGACATGCATGATGCAAGAAAGAGGATGATTTCACATGCTCAGTCCCCAAGGTCTGGGACTCGGGGGAGGGACTCCATATGAGCTGGATGGGGAAGGGCAATTTCTCTCCATACCTCCAGTCATTCTAGCTTTCCCAGCTGCCACTGCTGCAGCAGTTTCCATGAGGCAGCTGTGAGTTCCTGTGGTTGTTTCTCTGGGGTCTCTGGGGCCAAGAGAATTCTAGTCTCTTTATTTCCAGTACTGGGGCTGGGACAGGGGCAAGGGGGTGGGGGTGTAGGAGAATGGAGCCCTCTTGCTCAGGACCAGGTGGCAGTGCCATAGGGCAGGGAAGTTACCCCCCCTGACCCTGCCTGTGCTGGCTGCCCAGAGTCCAGTTGGACAGGAGCACAATGTGGAGGAGGGCCAGAGCAAGGGGTGGTGGGGGACGTGCTACCGTGATGTCTAGGGAAACCCAGAGAGGTGGGGGTTGCGGTGATGAAATCTTACAGCAGGGCAGAGTCCATCAAGGCTGCAGGGAAGGTGTGCAACTTGGGTGGGCCTGCACCCAGCTTCTCTTTCAAGGGGCTATGAGAGTTGCCTATTTGGGGCATCCTGGAAGTAGTGCCGAGCCTCTGTTAATGGGGGTGGGAAATGGGAGATTTAAGGGCTTTTGAGAACCAAGCAAGGAGAGTACAGCAACCTAAGTTCCCAGTCCCAGACCTTCTTACCACACTTCCTCCCTGACTTTAAATGGGAAGGAGAAGGCCCCTTCACCCTGAACTCATGAGGATATATAGGCCTCATGCTAGCTTTATGTCCCAGTTTCCTCAAGAAACTTGGTTGGCAAGGGGAGAGAGAAAGCTATGGGGGTAGAGAGTGTGATTTGAAAATGTCCTTACTCCATTTTATTAATCTCCCCACTATTTAGCTGGTGGGTGCTGTCAAGAGGGACTACTAGATCTAGCACCAGGAAGAGAGGGGTCGCACTTTGAGGACTGGGCCTCAGTACCTCCAGTGTCCAGCATGTGGCAGTGCCGTGCCACTGGACAGCAGCTGGCTTACAGTGGACCAGAGCTTCCCAGGGACAGGGAAAGGGCTGCTCTGGGGAGTGCTCCTCAACCTCTCACTTTAGGGACCCTGCCCCTCCCCCCAACAGGAGACAGCAAGAAGCTGGTTCCTCTGCTCTTTCCCCCTCACCAGTGCCAGAGAGCAGAGGCTGTCCTCAGGACCCACATCACTGCTACCTTTGGTTTGAGACCTCATCAGACTGACACGTGGCAATGGAATTTGGTGATAGGTGCCAGGTTCTGCCTAGAAACTCAGGCACCATGTGGTGAGGTGGGGGGAGAAGGGACAATGAGACTCTCAGGCCCTCCTGTCAACCCTGCATTTCTCTCTAAGCCTTGAAACACATTCAAGCCCTCTGTCCAGTGCTCTCCCCGGCTCTCTGCTCCCTCTCCATAGTTCGGGGCTGGTGAGTGACAGCCCTCTACCTCTTCGGGTTTGGAACACCAGACTGCAAAGTGGATGTGTCTGCCCATGATGGTGCCTCAGAGGGTTTCCCTGTGGGTGCCAGGAGTCAGGGGAAACAGCAAGAAGTGGCTGAGGGAGTCACTGACCCCACCTCTCCCCAACCTTCTTTGTCAGGTGCCCCCAATTTCCAGCTCTTCCCACCTCCTTGTTGCTGCGCCTGGCCTGGCTCTACCTCCCCACTGACACTTACGTCAGAACTCAGCTATAAATATGCTCTTAGCATCTTAGTCACTTTTCCCAAGAAGTGCTCCCAGGTTATAAATACCCCAGCCATCTGCCTCACTGCCTGCCCTACCACCAACCTGGTTGGGGACTGGGGGGGTAGCAACAGGCTTGGGGGTGGGTAAGGAAGTAGAAGGGGGAGTGGTTATCTTGTTCAAATGAAAAAGCCAGGAGTCTAGAAGTAGGGGCTAGGAGGCTCTGGAAGAAAATGTTTGGAGGAAGACAGACCCACTACTCTTTCCCCTTTTTACAAAAGGTAAAGCCAAAAAAGAAAGGGAGTAATACTGATCCTGTGTTTATTTTTATTTATTTATTTATTTATTTATTTATTTGTCCTTTTTGAGACCGGCCGCACCGCGCTCAGCCAGTGAGCGCTGTGAGCGCACCGGTCATCCCTATATAGGATCCGAACCCGCGGTGGGAGCGCTGCTGCAGTCCCAGAGCCGCACTCCCCCAAGTGCGCCACGGGCTCGGCCCTATTTTTAAAATATGCTATTATATTTGTTCATCATGGATTTTGTTTGGCATTAATTTTGATTTTATTTATTTATTTATTTATTATTTTTTTAAAGATGACCAGTAAGGGGATCTTAACCCTTGGCTTTGTGTTGTCAGCACCATGCTCTCCCAAGTGAGCCATGGGCCGGCCCCTTAATTTTGATTTATAAAGAATATTGCATTAAAATATTCTTTATCTTGATTGACGAATTTTTTGCCATCCCCTTAAAATTTTGCCACAAGGTAAGTGGTTCACTTCACCTTATCCCAGTCTTGCCCCTAGGGTCTGAAGCTGTACTTGAAGGGAAGGATGTCAGATCTGGGAGAGGGGTGGAGTGGGGGCATACTGGCAGAAGGGGGAGAGAGAGACACCAGAAATCCTCCTTAGATTCTCCTTAGATGAAGGTCTCCTTAAGTCAAAGGTAAGAGAACTTCCCTGAGCTGCTCAGGAAGCACCACAGCTCAGATTTGCAGCTGCCAGGAAGTCCCTTTCAGACTTTATCCTCTAGGGTTTCTATTCCAGGGAACTCTTACCCTGGTAGGAGGGGTTATAAGCTGAGCAAACACAGACATCACGTTCCCCAAAGGACACATGGGTTTTGCGCAAACTCGGCCTTGGGCTGCAGACGATATTGACCCCATAGTTCAGGGCTGTCCAGCCAAAGTGGGGAGATGGTGGGGGAAGAAGGGCAAAGGTCTAAAGAGGACCTAGTCTCAGAGCAAATGCACCTTCTCATCCCAGGCCTTCCTCTTCTCTCTGTCCCACTCAAGCGGCCCTTGCCATTCCAGCTTCCAAGCAGGATTCCTGGGTGGAGCCCTGGGGGTCAGTGAAAGGAATGTGAGTCAGAAGGCCTGGCAGCCAGCTCAGAGTATGCTTCTGCCTTCCATCACATGTGTGCCCACAGATTGTGAGCTCACTGATGATTGATCTGCAATCTGTCTCATCTCTTGGAGTACAGAGGGAGGAGAGGAGCAGGTAAAACTTAGGTCATTATTAACCATGAGACCATCAAAGATGGTTCTGGGAGAATGAGGGGAGCTGAAGAGGCAGCCCGAGGGAGGAAGAGGCATGAAGTGTGAGATGGATACAATAGTTCAGCTGTGAGGAGTTGATGCAAAGCGGGGGCAGGCATTGTCATCTGGGGTGTCAGTTAGGGTCCTGGCAGGACACAGAGGACAACTCAGTTCTCTGTGTTTGCTTCATCAAGAAGATTTGGTGAAGGAATTATTTACAGAGGTATTGGCAGCAGAGGGTGGCTGGCTAGCTCAGTTTGTTAGATCACCACCTTGTAATACCAAGGTCAAGGGATCTGATCCCCATACCAGCCAGCTGCCAAAACCAAACAAACAAGAGGTATAGGCAGAGTTAAGGAAACCAACAAGGGATGTTGAAGCACCCAGGGACTAGTAAAAATAGAAAGCCATTAGGACCCCCTAGTGTTAAAGCAGTGATATCTGCCTTCAGCAGAGCTGAAGCCATGGAAGGGAGTAGCCAGATAGAAGCTATAGACAAACAGCACAATTATACAGAACTATGGCACCTAGGTGGAGAGGGAGCAGGAGTAAGAAATACCCTGACTTCTGTCTCCTCCTATCCTTTGGTCTCCTGCCCATGTCTCCCCTTAGTCAAACCCAGTGGAAGCCAGAGGGCCATGTAGCTCAGGTGATGGAGCTCAGGTGAGTCAGCCACCAAGGGCATAGAGCAGGGCAGAAAAGGACAAAGAATAGATGAAGGTATGCAGAGAGAGCATTAGCAGCCCACCTGGGCAAGTAAGAAGGAAAGAGGCTCAAGACAGAGGAGGATAAGCCTCACTTTGTAGAACAGAGATCTAATCTTTGGTGAACCCAAGGGAGGGGCTCTCTGGAGATCTATAAAAATCAGGGGAAGGTGCTGGGACGGTTCTTCCTGGAGTGGGGACCATCAAGTGGAATGGGCATAGTGGACTATGAGGTCGATTAAAAGCAGGCTAAAGATGTCTTTGCCTGGAAACCAGATGGCATTGCTCATAGTTGGAGGTGGATCAGAGTCCCTGGAGTGGGGGTTGAACATGTGGGGCTAGCTGGATGGACTATGCCCTAGGAAAGAGGCTGGTGGTCATAAAGATGGTACAGTGACTCTCCTTAGATGAAGATCTTTTCAAGTTAAAGGTGGGATAATTTCCATAAGTTGCTCAGAAAAAAGGAGTACACATTCTGGATAGAAGCAGTAATGGGTTATTCCTTCCTCTCAAGGAAGGGCACTTCTATGATAGCATGTTTTCCCACCCCTCCTTCGGCTGCCCATACCACACCTAGACTAACTGCACCCACAGTCCTCCACCACCATGTCAGGTATATCAGTCTTGACAATGTTGCTGTCCCTGTCATAGTAGAGCAGAGACAGGGGGCGCCGACCTGTGGGCACACAGCATGAGCCCCCTCCCGTGGTACCTGCAGCTGTGTTGGCCTTGAGCAGATTGAGCACTGCAGTGTGAAAAGAGGCAGCAATGCCAGGCATGCCTGCCACATGTAGTGGGCACTGCCCTGCACAGAAATTCATTGCATAGCCCTCAGGCTGGATGATCCAGTCGTGCCAGCCAATCTCACGGAAGTCCACAAAGAACTCTTGTCGACAGCACATCCTGGACCCTCCCTGGCAGTCGATGCCTCGTCGGCGAACCCGGTGCTTGCCTCCAGCTCTCACCTGGGCTACAATGAAAGGACTATGGGCAGCCCCACCCAAGATGACTGAGCTCTGGGCTACCTCACCTTCAAGTACCAGTTCCAGGGTCAGGTGTCCCTGACTGCAGGCAGCCTGAGCTTCAGGCCCCAGGAGGAGCTGATGCCAGCCACTGGCATCTACCTCCAGCAGGTGCTGAGTAGCCAAGGTGAGGTTGGTATCATGTGAGTCTAGCACAAACACCCTTATTTTCAAAGTCCAGGTGATATTGGGAGGGAGCTGCACAAAGAACATGAGGCTGGCCTGCTGGACCTCCATGCCACCAGCAGTTCTATCAGAGGAGAAGTGAAAATCAAGACGAGTCTGGTTGATGTTGGAGAGGCCTGTGGACACAAGAAGCCCCAGTCATTGTGGCTTTCTGCATGTTAATTCCACCACTTCTCTATTCTCAGCATAGTTGAACTCTTGATAGCACTTGGCATTTGCTATAGTGTGAATGTGTCCCTCAAAGTTCATGTGTTGGAAATTTGATCCCCAATGCAGTAGTGTTGGGAGGTGTGGCCTAATGGGAGATGTTTGGGTCATGGGGGGACAGCCCTCATTAATGGACTAATGCCTTTATCATAAGAGTGAGTTTCTTATAAAAGGATGAGTTCAGCCCTCCACCTCTTGCCCTCCCTTTGTCCTTCCTCCTTGGAATGACGTAGCCAGAAGGCCCTCACAAGATACAGATCCTCAGTCTCAGACTTCCAAGCCTCCAGAACTACAAGCTAATAACTTTCTGTTCATTATAAATTACCCAGCCTATGGTATTCTTTTATAGTAGCACAGAATGAATGAACACAGAGAATTGGTACCAAGAGTGTGGTGCTGCTATAAAAAAATATCTGAAAATGTGGAAGCACCTTTGGAACCAGTTAATGGGTAGAAGCTGGAAGACTTTGGAGGAGCAGGATAGAAAAAACCTAGATTGCCATGAACAGAGCATTAAGGGCAATTCTGGTGAAGGCTCATAAGAAGAGGAGAGCTGTAGGGAAAATCTGAAACTTCTTGGAGAATATTTAAATGGTTGTGATGAGAATGTTGGTAGTAATATGGATGGTAAAGGCAATTCTCATGAAGTCTCAGATGGAAATGAGGAATTCTTATTGGAAACTGGAGTAAAGGGCTGGCCCATGGCTCACTCAGGAGAGTGCAGTGCTGATAACACCAAGGCTGTGGGTTCGGATCCTATATAGGGATGGCTGGTTAGCTCACTTGGGAGAGCGTGGTGCTGACAACACCAAGTCAAGGGTTAAGATCCCCTTACCGGTCATCTTTATATAAGATGAGCGTGGTGCTGACAACACCAAGTCAAGGGTTAAGATCCCCTTACCAGTCATCTTTATATAAGATAAATTAAGATCCCCTTACCGGTCATCTTTATATAAGATAAAAAAAAAAAAAAAGAAACTGGAGTAAAGGTCATCCTTTTTGCAAAGTGTCAAAGAACTGGTCGAATTGTATCCAGGGCTTTATGGAAGGCAGAATTTAGGAGTGATGAAGTAGAATATCTAGCAGAAGAAATTTCTTTTTTTTTTTTTTTAAAAGATGACTGGTAAGGGGATCTTAACCCTTGACTTGCTGTTGGCAGCACCACGCTCACCCAGTGAGCCAACTGGCCATCCCTATATGGGATCCAAACCCATGGCCTTGGTGTTATCAGCACCACACTCTCCCAAGTGAGCCACAGGCCGGCCCACAGAGAAATTTCTAAGCATAATCTTGAAGGAGTTGCATGGCTCTTCTTATAAATGCATACAGTAAAATGAGAGAGGAAAGAAATGATTGAAGATGGCATTTATAATTGAAAGAAAAGCAAAATGTAGAAAAGCAAAATGTAAAGATTTGTAAAAATCCCTAACCTGGACACATAAAGAATAAAAAGGGGTGTTCAGGAGAGAAAACCAAGGGTATGGGCAAGTGATCATTTGAGAAGGAGATTAGTATGAATAAATAAATGGAAGTCAGTTGTTACTCATCAAGACAATGAGAGAATGATCCCAAAGGCATTTCAGAGATCTTTGAGGCTACCTCTCCCATCACAGGCCCAGAACTCTATGAAGGCAGAAGGGTTTTAGGGGATAGGCCCAGGGTGCCCTTCATAGGCTTGCTGCCTAGGGCTGCCTTGGTACTCTGCTTCCTGCATTCTAGCTCAGTGCTCCTTAGCTGCCCCAGCTGTGGCTCAAGAAGGCTCTTGTGCAGCTCAGGCTGCCACTCTGGATGGTACAAGCAGTAAGCTCTGGCTATCCCATATGGTGCTAATTCTGCAGGCACACAGAGTGCATGGGCTGTGGGGCCATGGTGTCCTCCAGCTAGATTTCAAAGGATGTATTGAACAGCCTGGGGGCCCAGGCATAAATTTGTCTCAGGGGTGAAGCCACCACAGAGACCCACACTAGGGCAATGCCCAGCAGAACTATAGAATTGGAGTCACCACAGAGTCCCTACTAGGCCCAGTGCAGCCTGTGGGGGTGGGGTCAGCTCTGAGACCCCAGAATTATAGGGTTACCAGTATGCAGCATCAGCATGGGAGAACTGCATGCACAAGACTCCAACCTGAGAGAGATGCTGCATGAGCTGAGCCTTGGGCGCCCGATTCCCACCTTAATGTGTTCAGAAGGTGGGCACATAATCAAAGATTATTTTTGAGTCTGAAGATTTAATATTGTTCACGCTGTTGGCTTTTGGACTTTTCTTCTTTTCTTTGCTCATTTCTTCTTTTCTTCTTTTCTTTGCTCATTTTTGGAATGGAAATGTTTATCCTATGCCTATTCCACCATTGTATTTTGGAAGTAGATGACTTGTTTCAATTCATAGTGTCAGCTGGAGGGGAATTTGCCTCAGGATGAATCCTGCCTTAGGGCCGACCCATGATTCACTTGGGAGAGTGTGGTGCTGCTAACACCAAGGCTATGGGTTTGGATCCCTATATAGGGATGGCCGGTTAGTTCACATGGTAGAGCACGGTGCTGACAACACCAAGTCAAGGGTTAAGATCCCCTTACCAGTCATCTTTAAAAAAAAAAAATCCTGCCTTGAGTCCACCCATATCTAATTTAGAATAGTTTTTTTTTTGGCAGCTGGTCAGTGCAGGAGTCTGATGCTCTAACCAACTGAGCTAACCAGCCAGCCCCTCGTGTCGCATTTATACAAGACTATGCACTTTTAAAAAAAAATTACCTTTTAGAGACCCTAGACTTTTGAGTTGGTGCTGGAATGAGTTATAACTCTGGGGCTATTGGGTTGGAGTTAATGTATTTTGCATGTGAGAAGGACATAAATTAAGGAGACCATGGTGGAATTCTATGGTTTGAATACGTCTCCCAAATCTTATGTGTTGGAAATTTGATATCATGCAGTGGTTTCGGGAGGGGGAGCCTAATGGGAGGTGTTTGGGCCATGGAGGGATCATCCTCATTAATGGATTAATGCTCTTTTAATACCCTCATTTTGGGACTGAGTTCCTTATAAAAGGATGAATTTGTGCCTCCCCTGCCCTTCCACCATGGGATAACGCAGCAAGAAGGCCCTACTCAGATGCTAGCCCCTTGATTTTAAACTTCCCAGCCTCCAGAACTATAAGCTAATAAATTTCTGTTCATAATAAATTACCCAGATTGTGGTATTCAGTTATAGCATTACAAAACAAAGAAAGCATTGTTTTTGTTGTTGTTGTTTGTTTGTTTGTTTGTTTGTTTGTTTGTTTTTAAAGATGACTGGTAAGGGGATCTTAACCCTTGACTTGGTGTTGTCAGCACCATGCTCACCCATTGAGCTAAACAACCATCCCTATATGGGATCCGAACCCATGACCTTGGTGTTATCAGCACCACACTCTCCTGAGTGAGCCACGGGCTGGCCCCAGAAAGCATTGTTGACCACACTTTCCTTCTTGAAAATCTTTTCTCTCTTGGCTCCCATGACATAACTCTCTTATGATTCTTCTTAGGTTTTGTTTTGTTTTGTTTGCTGGATTTTTTTTTTTTTCTCTGACCCTTCAATGCAGGAGTTCTCTGTGTTTGACCTTCATTTCCTTTTACTCTACACTGAGGGGAGCTCTTGTCCATACTCATGATCAGCCAACACAATCTTTACGTCGGTAATTCCCAAATCCATATGTCTGGTGCAAGCCGTTTTGCATATCTAGACTGAGCACATAGATTTGGGAATCAACAGCTTCAAGCCTAAATTACTCACTGCTTAATTTTGCATTGTGAATTTCCTGCCAGCACTTAAAATCAATTTGTCCCAACCTAAAAATCATTATTTTCCTTCATAGGTACCCCTGTTTCTGTTTTTAGAATTGGTGGCACTACCATCCTCCTTATCATCTCTAGAAACCCTATGATCACCTCCCTCCCTCATCACATCCAGTCCCTCACCAAAATTATTCTAATACCTGTGCATTTCTTTATATCCCCATCACTACAGCCCAATTTCCCCTTATCATCCCTGACCTTATTGAAACATCTTAATTGGGTTTCTACTCCCTCCACTCTTTTGAAATTGTTCTTGTCAAGATCATCAACACCTTCCACATTGCCAAATCCATCTCTTTATATTCATCTTATTTGACCTTTAAGCAGTGTTTGACACAGTTAACCACTCCCTCCTTCTTAAATATTTCCTTCTCTTGGCTTTAATGGCACTGGCCACTCCTTCTTTGTCTACTTTGCTGACAGCTCATCTTCTGCTCAACTTCTAAATGCTGGAGGTCCTGAGCTCTCTTCTCTTCTCTATCTATGCTCACTCCAAGAATGATCTCTTCAGTTCCCATGGCTTTCAATTCCATCTAGATGCTGATGATTCCCAAATACATATCTCTGGCCCTGAACTCTCCCTTGGCCCCAGGCTTGTATAGCCACCTGCCTATCTGACATTCCACTTGGATATATGATATCTCAATTTTTTTATATTCATAGAAGTACTCTAGATTTATTCCCCCAATTCAAACCTGTTCCTTCTCCAATCTTCTCCTTCCCCGTAAATGCATTGCTTAAGGCAAAACATTGATTGCCCTCATCCCCTACTTCGAAATTATCTGAAAGATCTATCAATTCTACTCCCAATTCATAATATAATTTAATTTCTCTCCACCTCCTCTACTACACATTGTTCCAACCCACAATCATCTTTTTCTTGAACTATAGCAATAGCTTCCTAAATTTTCCATTCATTTTTTTTTTTTAAGATGACCGGTAAGAGGATCTCAACCCTCAGCACCACGCTCAGCCAGTCAGCCAACCAGCCATCCCTATATAGGATCCGAACCCGTGGCCTTGGTGTTATCAGCACCGCACTCTCCTGAGTGAGCCACGGGTTGGCCCATAAATTATCCATT